AGAAGTAAGGGCTGCAGAGAGGTGCAAGCTGACACAGGGTCACTGAAAGTTCTATCTCCTGAGTCACACTAGCCGAGTGTGGCCAGTGGCTACAAGTCTACAAGTTAGTGCTGCATGCAGGATGAACCATTTCCTGGATGGGAGAAGATCCTGTTGAAGGTTGCTGGTTTAGAACTCTGTGCCAGGTATTTGCAGTGTCTGAGGGAAAGCACAATATAAACTCTGTGAATCTGCCTTAATCTCTCAAGGGTGATAGTACAGCTATGGGTACATTTAACTAAGAGACAGAACACACACACTGACTGGCGTTGGGTGGGCATGTCACTCCCAGTAGTGAACAGGTTTTAATCATGTTTCAGTTTTGTTCAGAGCCTGTAGGACTGTGGCTGCTCAGAGCCTGTAGGACTGTGGCTGCTCAGAGCCTGTAGGACTGTGGCTGCTCAGAGCCTGTGGGACTGTGGCTGGTTTTTGTTTGTTTGTTTGTTTGTTTTGCTTTTCCTCCAGAAGCTCTAAGGAACATTCCAATGATAGTTTCCCAGTTAGGACAATCTCTCTTATGTTATTTCAACTGCTCGGTGCCAGAAACCACAAGAGCAAAAGCCTCCAGAACGTGTGTTTGTCTTTGCTTTCTGGAAAGCCCTACTCTCATGAAGAATATCCCTGGAGCAGAAGGTATGAGGTACATCCCTCTTGAAAACAGACTGGTTCACCAGGAACCCACATCCAGGCATATGTGTGGAGGAAACCCTCACCCGACTGAGAAATACAACCTGAAAGAGATTAGACTGAAAAGGAGATCACCTCGTGGGTTATTCCAGTGACTTCTCTGTGGAAACCTTAAGAATGACCAGCCATCCCTGTCATCACTCAGAGCAAAAGGATTCCAACCAAGTGCAAAGATTAATTCAGCTAGGAGCAAATGCAACTTAAATTGCAAAATAATTGGCTGTCAAATAATCACTCACAAGAGCTCTCACCAGGATTTGGTGTGGTAGGAGTTTGGTTGGAGGCATGCTCTGAGTCCTTGGTAGGAGCTGGGCCTCCAGCAGAGTTACCCCTACCTAAATGAGAGTCCTTGTTCTAGCTGGAAAGATGAGTGCTAAGGAACAGTCCCACACTAACATAACAATATCTTCTTAAATGAATTCACACATGGAACCAGCTTTATTGGGATGTTTGCATGATATATTTTATGTAGTGTATTGTTGGGAAAAAACAAAAATACAATTATACCAGTTTCTAAATAGAATACAGTGTGGGGGTACGTGTTGTCAGCAGAAATGACCTGTAGGGTTTGAATTGCAGGTCAGAGTAAAAGACATTTTCCACCGGAGGGTGATTCTGAATGTGAAGTATGTGTGTGCCTCTCAGCTGTGGTCCCTGTGAACTATCTTGTGAATAGCAAAGAACTGGATGATTTAAGCCCAGAGGAAGCAGCCACCGTTTACATGCCTTTCAAGACAAGTGAGTGGCTGATGGTAAGAAGACATGCATGTTTCACTATTGCCTGGAAAGTCTTTGAACACAGTAATAAAACCCCTCCTGGAAATGATTCCTTAGTGGGAGAAACTTGTGATTGATAAGCTCCTGACAAACAATAAGAAAAACTAGCTCAGAATTTTAAAGATGTTCCAAGAGCACTCAAAGGTATTTTGCTAGGCTGCATGGCTCCTTGTCTTGAGAATAAAGAGGAAGGATAGACTTCTTCAGTAGACTCACTTTCTAAAAACATAGCTCTTTACATTAGTCATAGCATAGTAGAATGTGTGCATTAGTGCTTCTGCTCTAGTTAATAAATGCTTTGACGTGTGAATATTTCAGTGCATTCTATTGATGCAAAAATGCCTTTAACTTGTTCAGCTGCTTAATGAGGGGACCCAGGCAGCCAGGTTTTAATTTGAGGAAAAAAAGCTAGTCACACTCAGGATTGAAAAGATGGGTTGACTCACTTGGCCCTATTCATCCTGGTCTTAGCTGGGTTGCTATCTTATGTCATAGTGTCATTAAGATATTACATGTGGAAATGAAATGGCTCACTGTTCATGAGGACCATGAAATGAGAACGTGATTTGAAATAGTAGTTTAGTTTTCTCCTTAGAGACTTGTCATGCCACCAAGATCATCCAGTTAGGGCCATGTAATGATGGCCGAGCATGCGCTCAGTGACAACCAGGGCCAGGCTGGGCCAGACCAAGAGGAGTCTCAAAGCATACCCAGGACACCCGGGCTTTCAGGGACTAAAGCTGTGTAACTCGACAGGTTCCCCAACTCACAGAGGGAGTTCCCCCATCTTTGACTTCCTCATCTGTTCTCTCATCTGATGCTTCACCTCAGAGCTGGCTACTGAAATCAGCTACCCAGGCAGAGAAAAACGGGTGGGAAATATGTATCATGGGACCTTGCTTCCACTGTACTGCATTAGAGTGTGATTTCTCATGCTAGGTGGGCATCAGCTTGCACAGCGGTCCCTCTGTAATTGAGTCCCTATAATTTCTCTTGTTAGCACAACTCTGTCTTGATGCCCTAGCTAGGTTTAGGTGCCAGATGGTTTGGAAAGGAAAACACTCTTTAACTTATGGTGAGGGTAGCGCTTGCCACTCTATGAGAATTCCATCTTCTTCTGCAGACATCAGTTATAGGAGAATGCTTGAAAATCATGCTGCTAAGAATGGTGAAAGATGCTGAGAAACACACACTTTCTTGCTCTTAAGAAATTAAAACCTGTCAGAAGAGGGATGAGACAAAGCATAAGCTCGTTCCCATAAGCAGCATGACAAGAAATAATAAAGTCATGATGAAAGACTCTTCCAAGGATGGAGGGAATTCAGTCTGAGAGCAGATCACCACTACTGGGCTCGTGGACGAGAATTTCTATTTGAGAACAAAGGAAAACACTTGAAGGAGAAGAGTGAGGACTCAGGAGAGAGTCCAAGATTACACTTGTGAGCTGATTTCAGAGATGTCTATCCCACAGACCTGCTGTAAAGGTAAAGGTGGAAGAAAGGTCAGAGTATCACACAGTAACTGGGAGAGGCCATGGTCCATTTAATTACTAGGTAATAGTGCTATTCCATTTGGCAGCTGGCAAACTGAGGGTTCTGGGACGGGAAAGGAACTAAACCAACTTTGATGGAATGGAACTTGTGAGGGACTATTGGGGAAGCCATCTT